ATAAAATAAAATAAACTCACTTGCTTTGATGGGACCCCAAATAGCAAGGAGTCTCTACAATATGCCTGCACAACTTGCAACCTATCAAGCTAAATGTTACCTACTAGATTACAAGACACTGGACAACTCAACTCTTTTTGTATTCCCAACTAAAAGCAGGGTACAAAAGCAGGGTATTAATTCTGTAGCTGGTAAATTTTGTTCATTATGGTGATTAACTAATGACGTATGTCTACTGTACAACATTCCTCATCACTTCAGACATAAATGTTTCAGCCCATCAGGTGAACCACTGAAGGCAGCAGCTAGGTATACGAGTGGCGATCATTTGTAAAGCACTAGACACAGAAGCATCTTCTTGCATACTCAAAGATTTATTATGACAGAGAAGGGCAAAGGTCATGTATTTAAGTAAATTAGAAAAGACAAATAAATATTTAGATTCCTTTTCAATTATTTGTTGAATACCATTAAAATAACTGACTAGGATAAATAACACCCCATTCTCTCACATTAATAGCATTTGCCTTTCCACTACTGATGCTTAATTTGCTGAGGGAGACTAAACTATATCCAGATGCAAATTCATAGAAATGGAAGAGCATTAAAAGAAGAGCAGGACAGTTGGAGGAGTTTTAGTGGGTCTCCATGACTCAATGCGTGCATAACTATGGCCCCAACATTTCTTTTTATGTACCACTAGTACATTGCACTGGAGAACATGGTTCTTTTCTTTGTGCCTGTTGAAGCCTGGGTTCTTTAGATGCCAATTCCACCATTCAAAGGCAAAATCACAGTTTCCTCACTAATGAAGAGGGGGAGTGTCAACAGGTCGCTCAGGAGCAAATGTCTTTGCTATGACATATAACCTAATTTATATTGAGCCCTGCATGCTTGCAGTGGAGCGGCTGAATAGCATTTCCCCAGCAGTAATCTACTATGCTTTCCAAGCTGATGGGATTTACCCTCCATTTCCTTAAGGAAAGGGAGGACATCTGGCACAACTGAGAAACCAGCAGGTAGGTGTGTGTGTGTGTGTGTGTGTGTGTGTGTGTGTGTGTGTGTTGTTTTGAGTTAAGTAACATTTCAATGTTAGTGATGAATTTTATATAGCGCGTGCGTGCGTGCGTGTGTGTGTTTGTGTGTGTGTGCATCCACACACACAAAGTCTGATCACCTGAATAAGCCTTTGCTCATACAATAATGTGCCAAAAACAGGAGCAACTAAAATGTACCCCTTTGGGAGTATCTGCAGGGAACTAATAATTGTAGTAATCATACCTAGGTATCTCTAGTGAGCCAGTTGTGCCAATATCCAGCAATTACTTATTGTTTTGCTTGTAAAATAAAGAGAACTGTTGATAGCATCTAATTAGAAAGGAGAAACTGGAACATGTTTAAGGGCACCTGCTAAATATATTCATGATACATATTTATTGAGGTGTGCTTGAAAAGTGCCTCTCCCTGGCTCCAGGCATATACAATATCTTAGAAATGAAGACATGTTGAATGTGGATTGGAGCAAAGCCAGAGTCCTTTCTCTGCACACCCAAACAGGAATTCTCCATCATCTGACACTCTCACCTAGTCAGCTCTCTCCACCAAAAATGCCCGGGGAAATGAATAGGCTTAGGAAATGTAGAGTCAGGCAGGCTGCAGATGCTTCCATTATAAAAATTACCAACCACCATCAATACACACCCAAAAAATATTGCTCTCAAACTAAAGTGTGTCTGCTAGCAAGAACTTGGAGGTAGTTTTTATGGCTTGATTACATAATGGAAATACTGACACAATCCTGAGGAGGGCAATGAGAACCACGCTCCTGTAAAGTTAAGCTGGACCCTTGGAAAAATGTTCATCTTAGTAAGAAGAGAGAAATATGACAAATTTTATAGAAGTCCTCCAATATTGGGGCTATTTATTTCACAATTAAAAGAGTTTGGGGTTTTGTTTTGTTTTTAGCCACTGGAGCATTTGTAGTTACTAGGCACTATAAATTTTTAAAAGGAATATTAGCAACAGCTCTACATACATGCTAATAATCTGCAGGTCAAACTGGAGAGCTGGGGATTACTGGACTTTGCTCCCTACATTTGATAATGCATTTGGGTTGACAGTGCTCTCATCTTGTTAGCAGTCTATGGTTTCTTTAGTGTTGATCCCTCCTTTTCCTAAATAGGAATAATCCAGATCTTTCCTAGAAAACCTGCAAGCATTTTGGAGTGTGGTAGAGTGTGGAAAATCTACAGTAGTATTGAGCTATCTTGGGAGGTGGATCACATGCTTGACTGGAGTTCAAGTGCCAAGAAGAAGAAATACATCTTAAAAATTAAGAAAAGGGCAAGGCAGCAATTTCCCTTGGGAACAGGAAGATGAGGGACGTTGTGTATTTTTTTAAAAAAAAATTATGGAGGTACTGTGGAAGGCAACTGGAAACCCCTTCTAAGCAGTCTATGTGTGTTTAAATTCTTCCTCAGCATGTACACGGTGCCTGCTCCAAAGAACCAGCTGGTTGCAAGGGAAGTTGCATCGTAAAAAGGTGAGATTAATCCCAGCTTTGGATCTTGTCTTTCCTAAATTGTACATGGATATATTTTTTTAAAAAAAGGGGAAAAAAAAGAAAAACACCGATGGTCTCTTGGTTGGTGGACAAGAAAGAGGAAAGTGTGTAGTAAGAGACCAGTTTGACAATGGCAGAATATAGATACATTCCATTCTGTCCAATGCAAGAAGGTCTAAACACATCAATGGAAGGAGTCCCGTGAATGGCAGGAAGTTATATTTATTATGTTGAGGAGCAACAAAAGAGAAAAGGTATGGCAACAAATGTAGGGGAAAAGGGGAGGTAATATTCCATAGATCTGCAGATTCAGATCTGAAATAGGCCCCAATTTTAAAAACTCTCCAAAGAGGCCCATCCATCCAGATCAAATGTTAATACATTCCTCAGAGGGAGTCTGTATAGGCACAACTCCATCCTTCAAAGAAACCAAACGCACAGTTACAAGATGGGGGATACCTGGCGCAGCAATACTACAAGCAAGAAGGATCTTGGAATTGTCATAGATCACAAGCTGAGTATGAGCCAACAGCGTGATGTGTTTCACCATTTCAAAGTTAAGTTCCATTCTGTCTTCTTTTTGTAAAAACGTACCAAGTTGGTTAATGCCCACCCATTCACAGAGAGACACCAAGCAAGGAAAAATCCCAGAAGATGACTTCTTTTTCATCTGTTAACCACTTCATACCCAAAACACAAAGCAATTATCAAGGCTGTTTTTAGACAAGTGTAAACGTTAGTGAGCAGACAGGGTATCCTGTACACCAATGAATGCTGTAATTAGTACTGTCAATGTTTAGGCCATCCTATGCTATCTAAAGATTGGCATCCTTTTCCCTGCTGGTAACACGGGCACGATATTTTGCAGCAATATCAAGCCATTTCCTGATACTGTGCCATGGATACAGAAACACAATGTCCCACATTCATTAAAAGGGGGGCAGTAATGTGATATATTGGACAATATGCAGAATGTTTAGTATTGTTTTTATCTACAGATTTTGGCTATGTGACTACATTGAAGTTGGTCAAAGTGATGGAAAACTCCATTCATAGCTACCAGAAATACATAAGCCTGAGGAAGATGATTCAACATCCTTGCCAGGCACGTACACACACACTTTAACAGGTAAAGTACCCCTCAATTAGGCCACAGGCTGCCCCTGTTCACATTTATTTATTATTTACTTATTACATACATTTGTATACTACCTGACTTACTGCAGTGCACTAAGGGTAATTAACAATGAACATAAACAATATCCTCCCCCAATTTCCAACAATATGATAAAGACAAACACAATTACACCAAATATTAAATTCCAATTTAATCTGAAGCACCAGGAAACCATTAAACTGGCTTGTTGTAGGAAATCCAGCTCTTAATAGAAAGTATGTATGCCCTTGACTGTGTGGACCACAGCAAAATATGGCAAGTTCTTAAAGAAATGGGAGTGCGTGACCACCTTATCTGTCTCCTGAGAAATCTATATGTGGGACAGGATGCAACAGTTAGAACTGGAAATGGAACAACTGATTGGTTCAAAATCGGGAAAGGGGTACAACAAGGCTGTACATTGTCTCCCTGCTTATTTTACTTATATGCAGAATACATCATGCAAAAGGCAGGGCTGGAGGAATCCCAAACTGGAATTAAGATTGCCAGAAGAAATATCAACAACCTCTGATATGCAGATGATACCACTCTGACGGCAGAAAGTGAGGAGGAATTAAAGAACCTCTTAATGAGGGTGAAAGAGGAGAGCACAAAAATGGTCTAAAGCTCAACATCAAAAAATCTAAGATAATGGCCACTGGTCCCATCATCTCCTGGCAAATTGAAGGGGAAGGTATGGAGGCAGAGAAAGAGTTTACCTTCTTGGGTTCCATGATCACTGCAATGGTGACAGCAGCCATGAAATTAAAAGACGCCTGCTTCTGGGGAGGAAAGCAATGACAAATCCAGACAGCATCTTAAAAAGCAGAGACATCACCTTGCCAACAAAGGTCTGCATAGTCAAAGCTATGGTTTTTCCAGTAGTGATGTATGGAATTGAGAGCTGGACCATAAAGAAGGCTGACCATCGAAGAATTGATGCTTTTGAATTGTGGTGCTGGAGGAGGCTCTTGAGAGTCCCTTGGACTGCAAGGAGATCAAACCTATCTGTTGTGAAGGAAATCAACCTTGAGTGCCCAGAAGGACAGATCCTAAAGCTGAGGCTCCAATACTTTGGCCATCTCATGAGAAGAGAAGATTCCCTGGGAAAGACCCTGATGTTGAGAAAGTGTGAAGGCAAGAGGAGAAGGGGATGACAGAGGACAGGATGGTTGGACAGTGTCATCGAAGCTACCAACATGAATTTGACCAAATTCTGTGAGGCAGTGGAAGACAGGAGGGCCTGGAGTGCTCTGGTCCATGGGGTCATGAAGAGTTGGACATGACTTAACGACTAAACAACAACATGTATTTCCCCAATGTGAAGCCTTTTGGATCCCATCCAGAAAGAATCAGAAAAAAATGACCAGAAACCATAGAAAATGCTCAGAACCACAGTAAAACAAAATCAAACAAAGAATGAATTGAAAAGCTATTAAAGATTTGTATTCTTGGATTGCTCAATTATTCCTGGGAAAGTGAACTTCATTACATGAGGCACACTATGGCCCATTCACACATAAGATGAAAAGCTTCTTTTGAACTGAGATTTTAAAATGGGCATTCCCTTCCATCAACTTTTAAGAGTTAGTTCAGGAGAAAGTTAGGAAGCTACCATACTCTTCTCTCAGCCTATATTTCAGAAAGTTAAACTGAGAGGGAGGAATAGCCACTGTGTGCTCTAATCTGACTGGCTGTTGTTTGCTTTTAAAAAAGCACATTGCTGTCTACAAAAGATGCAGTTCTTGAAGCAAACTAGAAACCAGTGCTCCATATGATATGTAAAAGCTTTACTTACTTACTTACTTACTTACTTACTTACTTACTTACTTACTTACTTACTTACTTACTTACTTACTTACTTACAAACGAACCAACGAACGAACGAACGAACTCAATTTATGAGTTCTCCAGAACATACGTATGTACGTACATTCTGGAGAACTCATAAATTGTTGCGTTTCAATTTGTTCTTACAGACAGGCATGGTTGCCTCATGTTTTGGTAGAGGTTGGAAAGCAACAAAAGTTTGAGTTGCACTGTCAAATGCCTTTCCTTTCTGAAGGATGCTCTGGATTCACATATAGGTATCCTGGGGAAAGGAACAGAAGAGAGGTGTCTGGCTTTGACAAATATTTTATTTCTTTCCAGCTGCCTAAGGCGTATTTTCTAGTGGGTGCCAAAGGAGGTTTCTGGGGCTGGAACTGCATGTTTGCAGTAATCTGCAGCAAAGATATTTACCATGGGTTATCTGTAAACAGGCACAAACCCGCTTGCAAAACACACCCAGTTTTAAAGTGTACTAATATGAGGAATCCCTAGATTGTGCAAAGCAGCCATCATGAAGATCAAGACTTGGAAGGTGACTGTACAAACGGTGAAGGAATTGAGAATGAGATAGGGATGCATGCGAAGATGAGTGAGAAATCACATATGTCTGACAAGAGCCTACACAAACACAAGTGTGGACCTATAATAGGCCTTCTCTGTGTGACCATAACTCTCATGCTTTATGGGTATGGAACTGTACAGAGAGGGCTCTTTTCGAATATGACTCCTCTGGTTTCACACATGAAACCCCCAAGTCCCTGACCTGAATAGCTGAGCCATGGCAAGAGAAGGGCTTCTTCATCCCACTCCCAGGGACATTAAGCAGCACTCATTGAATCACTGCCGGAGGCATCATCACCACCATCACAAACTATTTTGTTGTTTTACAGGACAGACTATTTGATGACTATGATGGTGGTGGTTGAACTAATAGCCTGCTTGCATTCCAACAAGCTCAGTATTTCATTTTACATTTCTTCTCAAGCCTTCCCAGAATGTTAGCATTCTTAGGAGAGTCAGGACTTAATTAGCATATGCACAGCCATTTAGTAAATTCTGATCAAGCTTAAGGGCCACGACAAGCAATATATTGCTTGCATATGTATTTGGGCTCTTTCCCCCTCCCCCTGTACCTTGTTTTTGAAATCCATAAATCAAGTGACATGGCATTCACCTCTGGTGGCACAGCATTTTGCCTTCACTGTGTCATTAGGATTTTTCCACTTCTTCTCCCCCCTGCCTCCCCCCCCCCAGGTAGCAGTTACTTTAGTAGTCTCCCACTCTCATTGTACTGGAACTTATTAGTACAGTACTGCTCTTCCACTATTTCTTTCATTGAAGCCTGACACCAAGCTCTGAAATAAACTGTTTTCTTAGGATTTCCTGCTGCACCTATTTATTTATTTAACTATTTCCTGTGGTATCTTGTTTAAGCACTTAGCTGGCATTCCACCTTGTTGTGATGTGCCTCTTTAATCCCCCTTTCCACTTCTTTTTATCTTTGCTCACCACAGGGCTGTTCAGACAAGTTCCCTTTCTACCTCCTCTTCAAGCCACAGAATGAATGAATGCTTCGTTACAGCCATCCAGAAAAAATTAAGAGACATAAAAAAAGAGTGCCTTTTTAAAAAAACCACACATTCTGAAACCTGCTGCCAAGTCTTCAGCTTCTTCTTCGACTCAGCTTTTCATATGTTTTATCTATATTAACTTGCCTCAGCTGATTATCCTAGCAAATTATAGCTTCAAGGCATGCAGTTAGAGCATGTCATAAAATGGCCCATCCACAACACATTTACAATACATAGAATAGAGTTGGGCAGTTGCTTTAGAAAGCAAATTGGTGGTGCTTGACTAACTATTGGTTACCTACTTTATCAGCCAAGTAATGATAAGCTGAAAATTTATGCTAGCAGATTTCAACAGCCTAGTGCTGGATTTATGGCTATTTAAGAGTTCAGACAGAAAGCAGCAAAGAGAACCCTACAAGACATCCTTGAAGCTAATTTTTATATGTGCAGTTCTGGGTAGCCATTAAGGGGGAGTCATTTGAATTTGCATAGTGCGAGAAGAAGATGCAGTGACTTCAGAAAGAGAAGGAGGAAGTCTACCAATCTACATGTAGATCTAAACAACAGAAGAAAAAGAAAATGTACTTTATCTATATTCCTGTTACACTATTACTAGGTCAGATCACTTGCTAGTTGTTAATTTTTGTTGGTGCTTTATTCCAGTAATCTGGAGAGAGGGCTTGTATCACAGTGATGTGGGATAGTAGTAGCCCTTTTTGGATCTCTGCAGGGTGTCGCTTACCCACTGCTACACATTAAGAGAAGATTTTGCCCACATTGGAAAATTTTGCCCTCAGTGTAAGTTTGTTTTTGCTGGTTGGAGTGAACAATAAATATTTCTTCAAGCAAGGAAAAGTTAAAAAAAGTATGATCACTGGATCTGGAAGTACTTGTGTATTATTCACACTAGATTAAGACAGAATGACAAAGATGAAACAAAGATGCTTTGCTCATGGAAAACACCTCTGTCTGGTTTTAGGGAATCCCCTTCAGGCCGTTTTACAGGGGCCAAACTCATTCAAAAGTGCTCCCATCCAGCTAGCATGAGGGGATGATGAGGATGCTGGGAAAGTAGGGGACAAGGAAGTTAACGTCTAGCAATTTCTTCCTGCTAACAGAAAAGTGAATACCTGTTGATGTGAGGAGAGGACACATGTCAATATTATGAGTATAAGAGCTCTTTAGGATGGGAGTGAGCATCCTGTTAATGTCATGGGCACTGGGAAAGATTTAATTTGAAAAGCCATATCTCCTTTCCATTCATGAACCTCCAAATAAATAACATTGTGTGTCAAAGTGAGGGAAACCAATGTATCTCAAATCTTTATAGAGTGACTAAACATATATAATATTGAATTAGACTGGTGATTGGTCTGACTGAGCTTTTTATCCATAGAAAGGTTTTATTTCTCCACAGACTGTGAAAAGCTATCTTGAGCAAAAAGAATCTGTCATTGCAACTGGTTCTCTGAACAATTAAACTTGTGGGTATTCCACCACTTATCAACTGCTATTTCTATTATCTCTGTAAAAACAAACTTCATGTGGTTTATCATCACCACCATCATCTGCTACTATCATTATTCGATTTCTTTCAAAAAAAAATTATAGAGATCTATGCTCTGAGGGGATTATAATCCAAATGCTGATGTGGACCATGGAATGAAAAGGAGAAGTAAGGATAATAGTATGACTCTGAAGAAATAGTGTTACATGTACTGCAGGCTAAACTACATATTACATACATTTGCATGTAATTTTCCTATAACTCCTTTTGTTTGTTTGAAATGAAAAGCAGTCACCAGGAATTTCAACTCTGAGCAAAGGACTGGTAGAGGTTACTTAGGAAAAAAAAAACTCTTGATATATTCTTTCTGGGAGGAAAATAAATTATTTTGAGCCAAACCACTGGCTCAAAAGCAAGGCATTAGCAGCCTCTGCCCTTCCAACCTCCAGCCTGCTGGTATTTTTTTTTCATTTAAATAAAATGAAAGCAATGTTTTTATAGAACTGCATACTTTATATGTGCAATTTGTGCTAGCCTGTATGGAAGCTATTTGGAAAGACCATCTTCCATGAACAGAAAGTGTATTAGAATGAGCTATATATTTGAGAAGAAAAACATGAAAAGGGATCAGATCCCGTGTTAAGGGAAATTACAACACTATCCCTCCAACATGTCCAAAAGTATCAGCAGTGCGATTTCCCAATGACTAATTACAAAACAGGAGTAAGACAATTTGCCTACTGCAGATGGAGGCAAAATTGTTTTGGAATAAAGAGACAATTCTTTGCTTGTAAAGGAGGCCTGCTTCTAATGATATGCTGATTGTATTATGCATTTGGCCGTAAGAAAAAATGAGAGGGAGGGAGAAGTGTATAGCGGCAAAAAGAGACAATTACACCAGACCTCCAACCAACAGGTAGAACTCTTTCAAGTTGTCTGCAGCCTTACAAATGCTGGGCAGATGCAAACATTGCAACAAAGTATAGAGAATTGCAACCTATTGGTAGCCCATTTCGGATCTAAGATTGAATGCATCCATTGGAATCTTGACTCCTCATTTAACTCGGTAGATCAGATTAAGATATTCAGTGCATGGCCTGGTGGGTGGGGGAGACCAAAAGAAAGCCCAGAAAAACAAAAACAAAAAACTTCTCAGCAAAATGTCCATGCAAACATACCTGGCCTTCAGCCTCAGCCCAGCTTCCTAGGGAAAAGGGTCCAGGGTCCTGGGACACGCTCATTTAAAGCAGAAAGCCCCACCCTCTAGGGGTCTATCAATGCGGATCCTCTGGTGACCAATCACTGATCCAAAGCCATTGCAAACAGCTCTGCAGACTTCCCTGTTAGCACTCCATCAGGCAGTGTTTACGGGTAAAAAACTTCTTGCATCCAAGGGATGATGTTTGACCAAACAAGACGCATAGCTGGATATGTGGCCCTCAACCAGGTGAGGTCACGGATCACATCAATGATCAGGGCCTTTCCACAATGCCTAGTGTAATCATTACCACCCAGGTGTATCACCAACACATCTGGGGGATGATGACCAAAGGTAGCCACATGCCAAAGCTGGCCCCCTAGCATTCCATGGCATCCTCTCCATTCAGTATAGGTCCGTACATCAAGGCCAAGACTGCTCCCCCATGGGGATTTGGCAGCATACCATGCTGCCCAAAAAACATAGCTGTGGCCCACGATCATGATGTGTCTTCTGCTCGCCACAACCATGGTACCTGTAACATGAAAACAAACCAGGCACCTGCCTAGATGTTAGGAAGTGTCCTGATAATAATAATAAGAAGAAGAAGCCCACCGTCCTATCTGTTTGATTTTTTTTCGGACGGTAACCAAGGGCTGCTGCAGTAGACACCGTACCAATTCTAAAGGAGTGTGCCCAAAATCTTAGTCCTTCAACTCCCACCTTATGTAGAAATAAATCAGTTAACTTCCAAAACTGGTACCTCGTCAGAGAGGAACCATTCTCATGTGTAAAGAAATATCCTGGGCTTGATCCTCTAAGGATCAAGTATGTTTCAACAGACTTCACTGGGCAGATTGGTTCTATGTAACAACGTGACAGGGTGATACCTGCTCCTTTGCCCCACTGATCGGTCTTGGATCATCAGACATGAATCTGCAATGTCTCATCCACTACCCTAACATCCTGCCATTGTAAAGGTACCCTCGTTTTATCCCCCTTCCCTGAGGCGACTACTTCACCAATTCTGAGGGCTCCAAAGAATGTTAATAAGGACACTGCCCTGAATAAAGCAGCTTCATAATCATCCCTACAGAGAACCTCCCACTGTTCACAAATGCCTTCCAACAGCTCAAGAGAAATGGGAGCTCTGGTGTCCTTTACTCTGTCCCTTTCCTTGGACCAACCTTCGATCATTTTTCTAAGGCAGTAGTTTGATGAATAGTCCTGGTACCCATTAATTTTCGCATGGAAGGCTAGAGCCGATAACCTACCCTGTATAGTTCCTGGTACCAAACCTTTCCTATTAAGGTACACTAGAAACTGCTGAAGATGTTCAATTGGGGCAGGCCACATTGGGTCCAAGTCCACAGGCATGATAATTCATCCGCTAAGCTATTGTCTACACCTGGGACATGCCTGGCCTGCAGCAGAATATTAAATGTCAGGGCATGCAGCATGAAAGCCCTGACCAAAGTCATGACCCTTTCCAAATGTGAAGTCAGGTTGTTTACAATATAAACCACCACCTGGTTGTCGCACCAGAAACATACCACAGAGTTGGCACATTCACTTGCCCAAAGCCACAATACGCCAACTATGGGAAAAAACTCCAAAAATGTCATTTCTCTGGTGATCCCGACATGGTGCCATTCCTCTGGCCACTTGCTGGCGCACCATCTGCCTCTGAAATATATACTGAACCCCAAGGAGCCTGCTGCGTTCGACTGGACCTGAAACTCTGCTCTAAGCATCCTCTCTCCTCTCCAAAATGAAATGCCATTGAATTCAGGTAGAAACTGCCTCCAGACTTTCAAATCTTCTCTCATGCCTTGAATAACCCTGGTCCTATGAAAAGGATGACTGAGCCCCTGCATTGTGTTACAAAGCCTACACAGAAAGGCACTACCAGGCACAACCACTCTGCAGGCAAAAATTATGTGTCCAACCATCTCCTGTAGCTCCCTCAGGGTCACCTTCTTCTTTTGTAGCATCGAAGCTTCCGTGACCTTTAGGTTAACTAATTTTTCCTCTGACAACCTAGACGTTTGCTGAACTGTGTCTAATTCAATACCCAAAAACGTCAAGGCCGTAGTCTGCCCTTCCATCTTGATTGATTGATTGATTGATTGATTGATTGATTGATTGATTGATTGATTGATTGATTGATTGATTGATTGATTGATTGATTGATTGATTGATTGAAGGCCCGTCACCAATGTTTCTTTCATCAGCAAAGTGGTCGAGAGGGTGGTGGCTGATCAGCTTCTTGCTCATTTGGATAAAACAAATGCCCTGGATCCGTTTCATCGGGCTTCAGGCCGCGCCACGGTACATCCACACAAAAAAGAAAGTCATCAAGGTAATGGGCCATATTCTTACATCCCACTCTACTCCTAAGCTTCCACTCAAGGAAGGAACTGAACCATTCAAAGCTGCACATGAAACTGAGCAGCTCATAGGCAATGCTCTATCTATTTGGAAAATAATTGAAAATAAAATCCTAATAGGCCAAAATCCTGCAGGTGGACAGGCAAAATCCAAAATGCTGATTTTATGTCACATTTTGCCAGTTCTGCCCCTACACCACACCTACGGACCATGCTAGCTGCCTCATCGTAGGAGGTATAGCGGACGATACAAAGTTCCTGAGGGATGGTGTCATTAACCAAGCCCCCTTCAGGATTGGACAGATGATGGATCAATCTGAACTCACCTGGCGCCTTCTTTGGTACTATTCGTAAAGGCGAGACCCACATTGTCTCCAAAGGAGGTGTCGTGAATGGTCCCAAAACTCTCCTTTCACATACCTCCTTAGCTATCTTTCCTTGAACTACTCTTTCCATACCAAGCAGCTGGTATCCTAAAACCATCTTTAATACCTTCTAATAAATAACTGCTGTCATCCCTTATGGGATAATTGTGCAGCCATGTTTCTAAAACTAAAATTTTAATTGGGCTGGGCCCCTTTTCCAGGGTTACCCCTCCCCCGTTGGTTTTCTTCCCCCCACCAGGGCCTTTGGCCTGCCTCAGAGCTCCAGCTCTGAAGCATGTAGTACTGGGATGCTGCCCCACACACACCGTGCATTCATGCCTATACCTGCAAGGTTTCTTGGAGCACACACCTCTTCAGTTATACTCCCAGCAGGGCAGGCGAGGTTGAACCACCTGCCCCGCGCCTACATGGGGAGTCAAATTCAGAGCACTCTTCCTGATCAGATGCCCACTATCGGTTCTATCACCTTGATTGGGTCTGGCAGGAGTCATCAACTGCAGCCAGAGACCCAGCAGTGGCTTGTCCCAATGCAAATTGGGGTGAATCGCTTTGTCATAGGAAACCCACGCCCGCCCTGCAAAATCCACATATGCCCTGTAAATGAGATCCAGGTATTGGAATAGGGACTGTGCCCACCAAGGCTGGGCCTTTACTACCAGCCCTGCGTATATTAGGTATCCAGGCAGCCAATTTGACCAAATCCTATCTGGTGTTTTCTGCCTACGTCACTTTGTCCTTCTCATCTCTTATCTATATCCTTCTTTTCAACATTTATGTTTTGT